AAGTAGAAATATCATATTAGATATTTTAATATTAGTATGTACTCTTATTGAAATGTAGGTTTCTTTTAAAGAAGTAATGTGATAGCTGCTTGTAGTTTATCCATAACTATTTTTTCGTTTGTTGTAACTGGGTCCTTTGGAAATGAAATTATTTGCATAATTTTCCCTACTTGATTTTCAGATGATAAAATTGATTAAAAAAAGAAGGGAGAGGAAATGCAATGCTCTGCTTATCTACATGATAGAATGCACAATAATGAATTATATTAATCTTATTTAAAAGATTATATAACTTTGATGAGTTAAAGCTTTGCTCCCTTATTCAGAAAAACGTAAAATGAAATTAACCAAAACAAAATGTAAAATTTAGAATATTGAGGCTTAAAATATAATTTACATTAGAAATATGAATAGTTAAATAATCTAAATCATACATTATATAACTTCAACTTTTCCTTTGGATTTTATTCAGTAATTCATTTGATTTTCATTTTGTAAAAGTGAATTTGAAATGGTCCCTCTGCTTCCCAGACAATCCTGATTTTTCATATTTAAAATAATTCAGCTAAATTTGAATATATATGTATATAAATTTTTAGTGACAACTGGTTTATGTGCTTGCATCATTAATAAGTTAACAGATGTAAATGCAGTAATCAGAAGAAATCAGTATGTTATTAAAAACAGGAATGGCAGTTATTTCACTTATATTGAGTACTGTAGTGGGATTTGTATTCAAGAAATCATAAGGCCCCCACCCCGATTTGTGAAATATGCACATATCATTTCAGAATTGGATATCAACGTGAAGGTAATAATTGTGAAGAAATTCAATGAATCGAGGCAGTATATTTAAGGTATAAGAAATAAAACCTCACCTTCCCTTTCATCCCTAAAAGGAAGAGAAAATAGAGCATATATTACTGATACATATTCAGGAATAAAAATAGCCATTTGAGAAGGTCTTCTAATATTAGTAATTTAATCATAATAAAATTTAAAACATGAGCGTCATATCTGCAACAAAATGGTTTAAGTAGTCACGTTAGGTTCCTGATTACTTGTAAATGTAACATGGTTAATTTCTTTCTATAATTGGTTTTGAAGAAAAATGCTAGCAGAATTTAATAGCATATTTGAAATGGTCATTGAATTCTAAAATATCAAATATAGTGATGGCGTTTTGTAATGTAGATGCTCGTCTGTTTTTAAATAAAGATAGCTTGTAATCTACTTTTTGCTTAAAATAAGTTTTAAAATTTTAGTAGTTTTAAATCTGAACTTTACCGTAATTTATCTGAAGCATTTTCTTGTTTTTTAGAAAGAATATTAAATTTTATGTATCCAAAGAAGCAAAACAAACCCTCTGAATTTTTCTTTTTAAATACATCTTCCTTTTTGCTATGTACTTTCTAGGCACACATGTACTTTTTTAGTGAATTTAGAGCACACAAGTTTGCATTAAGTTGTTTAAATTTTAACTTAAAATTCTCCGTTTGTTTTTGTTTTTTAGAAGGGCTGGGGGTCATGTAATTTGATAAATGTTGATTTTGAGTTATTTTGGAAATGTATCGTTTTCATTAAAAAAGACCTTGTACAGTACAAAGTCTGTAATCCAGACGTCCATTATCTGGAATGATCTATAATCTGGACCTCAAAGCCACAAACTTTTTTTTTGGCCATTGTGCGTTTGCGCATGCGCGTTTAGCATAAAAAACGTAGCAACTTAAACAACTTACATTGAAAGAAATGTTTAATAAAGTAAACAAATAAATATTAACCTTTTTTTAAAGAAATTTTGATACCCTTTAAATCATAATTGCTCTTTATTTCATAAATTAACTGTTTCATATTTTTAATTGTATAATTTCTGCATGCCATCTTACTAGATTTAAATTGATGATCTATAATCTGAAATCGACGAAGTCCCGACGACGGACTTTGTACTGTATACGTAAATTGCCAGGTATGGTGATTAAAAAAGTATCTTGGAGTACTTGAAGGGTAGATGCATATTTAATCTTTCTTTGCAATATATTTAAGTATGAAATTTGAAGTATTTCACCATTATTACCTGCCAAATAATAAAATGAGCTTTTATATTCAGCCATACCTGAATCGTCAGATACTGCACATGCTGAGTAAAACAGCGCTTTATTGAATAAATAGTATGTTATCCTGATTGTACAATGGAGCAAAGGTTATGTTTTAAACACTCGGATCACTTTGTACTTACCACTATAAAGTTGATTAAGGGGAGTGTTTGGAGATGCATATATATATATTATTGTAGATGTTTCCCATTCACAGTTCAGCTGTCAATAAAGGAATCTTCAGAAAATAGGAAAGTAACCAGGGTGTGTATTTTCCATCCATAAAGAAAAATTCCTTATTAAAGGGAAAGAACACACCAAAGATCAAATGTAGCTGAGAGAATTGTTCTAGGTAATACTAATAAATAGTGTGCAGAATCTTATTGGTAGGTAAATGAGCAAATAGAAGGTATTTTTCCCATTTGTTACATACTAAATGATTTAAAAAAGATTATGTGAATTACATAATCAAAAATTTCATAAAATTTAGACATGGCTGCAGTCTGTTCTACAGCTAAATCTCTCAGTGTTAATTGGAAATCCCTAAAAGGTAAAGAGTTTATTTTTGAAGGTTGAAGATGTATATCTGTTGAAACTTAATGGAACTGTTTGATATGAATTAATATTTGAAAGATACAATGTTTCAAAGAACTGCTTCCTTTTGCATGACAGTACATCTGTACATTACAATGTTTCAAAGAACTGCTTCCTTTTGCATGACAGTACATCTGTACATTATGCTTTCACTGCCCAGAGGATTTGCTAAAAAAACAAGTGTATTGGTTCAATTATTTTTGTTATACTAAATCGTACATTTTTCATTTGTTTAATTAAATGAATTCTTATAAAAGCTAGCTCTGTGTAGGTCTTTACCAAAATTTAACGATTCAATTTACCAGATTTGGCGATTAATCTTGGCAACCACTTTAATAAGGAGGTATACATAAATGCATATAATTAAGAATTAACAAATGAAAAGGATTTTCATTAAATTTAAATTTCATTAGCTTTGTAAAATAAAAAATTCAATAGCTTTCGCATTTGAATGTGTGGTGAAATGGCAGAGAAAATGAGTGATTAAAATAACCAATTTTAGATTTACAATCTAAAAAGTGACTATCTAAAGACATCTGCTATTGCTTTTCGTAGAAGCCAAACAACAAAAATCAGCTGAGGATGATGGTTCGGTAAAACCATCAAAACTATTCCTGTGAAAATTTGAAAATATAATGTTGATTTTTTTGTTTGACTTCTAAATTAATACTTGTAGATGTTTCAGTCATGGTGTACCATGTATTATTGAAATGATTTTAAAAAAAAAATTGGCTACCCGTGTGTTCTTTCTGTTTAGAGTAATAATTTGTGCGTCCTAAATCTTGTGTTTTTTAAATCATGATAAAAAATTGCCTTTCAAGAAAATTGTTTTAGAAATATTTTAGATGAAAGCATTATTGTTTCTATCTAGTGTTTAAGATTCTAATTATTAGAAGGACTAACAAATCACCATTTTCTAATATCAGTATTCATTTAGCCACATATTTCTATGTTAAAAGATCTGTGGCATATTTTAATCTATGATTATTTTATATCATTGTATTTTGTGAATAGTTTTTATAAAAAGAAAATGCCCGTAGTCAAATTTCTGAACATTATTTGCATCAAATATTTATTTAAATATGTACTTTTGAATATTGAACAAGTTTCTATTTACTCGTGCATTTAATTTTGAAAAGTTAAATACACACAGATTTATATAAAATTGCATTGAGTTAAAATTTTATGTAAATTTATTAATATTTTAAAATTTATTGTGCAGTTTGAGTCATATAATAGTATCTTTTAAAAAGTTTATTATTTTAATATAAAAGGTCTGCATTAAGCCTAAAGCAATTTCTGGTAAAATATTTAAGCAGTACACATTTAAATTACTGCTATAATAAAATTAATAGTATAGCCTTTTTTCACATAATTTTTTTTAGATGTTTTAAATTGTATCTAGTATGTATTTAAAAAAAGAATACTTTGATGCTTTTCTGCCAATTAAAAAATAAGAGATTTAGAAATAATAGTGTAATATAAATGATTTGGTAAATTAAACTAAAACTAGCATGCAAATATGAAATAAAATTTTTTTTTTTTTATTTGAACTGCTGCATTTTTGCTTGAGCAGATCAAAACAGTTCTTATTTTTAAGGAATAAAACTGTTTTCACTAATCAAAGCATTAAATAAGTACATGTTTATTTATTTTTTTTTTTTCATTCAGCAGTTGTGCACTGTTATTGCATGCTCTTTGGCAAATAAAATGCAATGTCTGTCGAGCATATTGCTGAAGCTGTCACATCTGTTTATGTGTAAGAAATTTAGCCTTTGCTGCTCATTATGTATCATTTTAAGAAATATAATTTTTAGGTAGATCCTAATTTTGAAGTAAAGTATCGGGAAGTACTAAATGACTTTACACTTGCGCTGCTGCAAATTTTATATTACTGTAATTTTTACAGGATATTGATTTAATGGAAACAAGGGATTTTTTAGGCATTATTCTTGATTTCTGAACTCATCTTTCTCTTTTTAACCTCTAAATCACTTGCACAACACCAAAAACATCATTTTATTTATTTATTAATTTATTTTTTCAAAAAATTCATCTTTGGGCTACATTTAAACTAAATTTTGAGTGCTTTGCTATTTTCCTTGGAAAATAGGTTCTAATATTTAAATTATATATTTGTCTTTGAATATTTAGCATTTAAATCGTTGTCAATGTATAATATTGACACAGTCCCGAATATTTTTAGTTATGCTGTTCGAGACAGCATTTCTATTCCCTGAGTTTTGTAGGATTTCTTTAAATCATGAAAGGATTGTCTGTCCACCTGGGTGAATTATCTTTTTTTGATGACAGACTCGATTTTTGAAGCTGGTGCGCCATCAGGATGGCAAATGGAAAGCTTTACCCACTGAAACTGATGATTTAGCTCAAGTAGTACTTAAAGAAAGAAAATATGTAAGTATTTGTAGAAAGTGAATGCTGGAAAAAAAAAGTACTCTTTTTCTGGAAAGAAAAAAATGCAGTATATATGTATAATACACAAATATAAACTACTGATTCTGTCTTGGGCCACCTAAATTTAAAACTTGTGTATTTTTTGTTAATTTTTTTAATTTATTTATTTATGCACTTAAGATTGCATACGAAAATTAATTGCTTCATGGAATTTTTCTGTTTATGAAGGTGATTTAATGGTTTGATGTTTTTGGTGTGGTCTCCTACCTTCCTGTCGGCAGAAAGCATGTTTGTTTTATTACTTGTTATCTGATATTGCTTTTCTACACTAGCACTGCATTTAGCACTGATTTTAAATATTGCATGTTGGCTTTTAGTTGTCTTTTTTTTAATAAATAAATATTTATAAACATATGTGGCATCATCCAAATGTGTCCGGTATTAATTTATGTATTTTTTACCTACCTTTACATCTTTGTAAATGCTATTGCCATTTTGGAAATAAAGTTTTTTTTTTTAATTTAATGATTAGGTGCACTGCAGATTGAATGAGATGTATTTTAAATTATAAATATAATTACATTTAAAAATAATTCTTTTTTACAAAAATTCACTTCAAAAGAAAATCAAATTTAGTACATCATTTAAAATGGTTTTGGGGAAAAAAATAATTCTGTCTTATGCTTATATACATAAATATAGAGATTCCTCTAAAAGGAGAAAAGGTTAGGTTAGGTAATCTTTTTAGTCTAAAAGGGGCCATGGGATATTAGTCTCTAAACAACATTTTGTGTTGAATCGTAAACAGTGTATCACTTTTCAGACTGTTGCCACGAAATATTATCTCCTTGTATTTTATTTAAAAAATTAAATGAGGAACAAGCTGCATTAATGTATGCATGTTTCTTGAAATGTAAAAAACAATGGTACCTAAAGTCATCAAATTTTGAATAACGTAGTCTTCCACCTGAACATGGGTACCTGGAAACCCAAATTTTGAATTTCAGATTTGTTTTATCTATTTAATATTTTGCATAATTTTAATGAATTTTTTATTAACAAACTCAAAAATTTCAAAGCAGGCATTGGCAACATTGTATGGGAAAGAACATTTTTTATCTCCAGTGTGCAAGATTGTCTATCCGAAATTCTAAAGATATGCTGTTTTTAAATATTTTGGGATTTTTCTGATGAGTTGAATTTTATGCTGCCTAAGCACTAAGAAAATTATGTTTAATAAATAAAAGTAAACACACCAAATGTTAATAATAAAAGGACAAAAAAGTTTTTTAAAGCTATCTTTAGTAAGCTGGCTGTTGGACTGTGATCTCAGTGAGAGAGCATTAAAAACATAAGCTATTAAAGATGCATAAGTAAACATAATATTAATGTATTCTGTATTTTCAAGGTTAGTTGTTAATTTGGATAATAATCTTTACTTTCACAATGTGCTTTCCTATCTGTGCATGTATTTTAGATTCATATTCCATTCCCATCTTACGTCATTAATCCATTGCTGAAGATCTTGTTTAATTTTTAGCTTTGTTAAAGAAAATATTTCCTAGTAATAAATTAATTGAATTAATGAAACTTAGTAAATTCTCTATTCCATTCCTGTACCTTTAGTAATTGTCATCATTTTCCGATTAAATTTTGTTTTTCCATTCCTCTACCTCTAGTAATTGTCACCATTTTTCTTATTAAATTTTGTTTGACCAGAGTTATCTTAATCTATTGTAGGCATTTGTAGAACTTTTTTCATAAAGATTTAGTGATATTTAATCAGTGAAATGTGTTTGATTTACATAAATTAATGAACATTAAATTCATCCGCACTATAGTATAGTATGTACATTAATGATTAATTTTGTTTCCATCATTTTAAAAGTACTTTGATGAATAAGAGTTTCTCTCCCATATTCAGGATTTTCTCAATAGAACGCATAAAGCAATTATGAAATTACTCAGAGAACATAAAATAATGGCATTAAATTAAATATTAATACATCTAATTAAATATTGATATATTTTATAACAGAATCTCAATATAAATGGTTCAGTAACCTGAATCATATTATAAAGAGAATTAAGTTCAGTTTCATGTGATATTGCCATACAGAATGAAAACTCTTTGTATTGTGTATTTCAGAGTTTTGCCAGTTTTTTTAATTTTTATTTATTTATTTTTATGTACAGTTATTACTAGAAATCAGAAATTTCAAAATCATATGTGTGAAAAATTGAGGGAAATGTATGAGAAAAAATATGCAAGTAAATATGGCATAAATTCTTAATTTAGAGGCTGTTAGAGAATATCCCACCCACCCAAAAAAATGTGGAGTTTTTTTTGTTAGAATTAAAGTTTAAAATCCATACAACTATTAGGTTAAAAGCTCTGAATTTCATTAAACATTTATTTCTATTATTGAGATTAGTTTTATTTTAATTTTTACCTTCTTTTGAGACATTTTGGTGTTTTACGAGATTTGAGATGTAAAACGAAAGCTAATTTATATTTCTTTATATTTGACTGTGTTGTCTTAGAAACTTCCTTTTCTTTGAATGTTATGCATTATAAATAGACATTTTTTTATAATTACTTGATTGTTAGATAAAGGTTGCTTGATTTTTCTTATATTTATCACTGAAATAAGTAAAAGCTGTACAATCTAGAAACCTCGAGAAATGTTAAATCCAGATAAGTGAAAATTCTGAATAGTTTATAAATGCAGTTCATATCAGAAAAGGCAAATAAATGGGCGAAGAAATTTCCAGCCTAGCTTGACTATCAAAAGCCTACATTTAATATTATGTAAGATTTTGAATGGGAAAAAAATGTATCTTAAAAATATTACATTACCGTATCTGATTTTGGCGTATATCCTGCCACCCTTGTTCTAAAAACAACTTTGAAAGAATTGTCCACTGTTTATTTATTAGAAAGCTAAGATTTAAGTTATGGGCATATTATAAAAACGTAAGTGTTTGTGATAGTTTTTTGGGGTTGTATTGCTTTGTTTATTAATTTTCAAAAGTTATGATTTTATGATTGTACTGTGACATTATTGCCTAAATCGATGCTTAGTGACAGTTTCTGTTTCCTCAAAATGTAGGTTCACTTTATGATGGCTTAACAAATCATTTATTTGATTTCTCTTAAAAAAAAAAAAAAAAAAAAAAATTAACATTTTAAATGTTCTGCTTGCTTGAGTTTTCCGGCTAGGTGAAGGCCAGAAAGTCAGGGTTTTACTATATTTCTTTTAACACCTTAGTATATTGTATTTACTGAGTATTGAATGTGTATTTTAAATAATAAAAATTATGAAATGCTTTTGATAAAGCATTAATTGAGCAAATATTATTCTTGCAGATGTTTTTAATACCAGCCAGCCAAAAGTTTAGCCCCAAAATCATATGAGAAGAGCTATTTTCTGAATTTAATTCGTAAATTTAACTCTTTTGTCTCGTATGTACTGTTTTGTATGGTATTTTTGCAAGAGGCAGTTATGTGTATTTTCTTGTGTGTCTTTCTGCGAAAAGAAATATTGTGCAGCATATGTGTATAGTTGTCTGACTAAGGAACTAACTAAGGAGGTTAAGGAAGTACAGAAAAAATTTAGGTTGTGAAAATGGTGCACAGTTTCTTAAGTGTGTGCAGAATGGAATTGGATCTGATGAAAGATCAGTATTCTCTAAATTTATAGTTTATGAATTGTATTGGTTTTCTTCATAAATGGTGATGTATCTCGCTTTCTTTGTAAGCTCTGTGTGTGTGTGTGTGTGTGTGTGTATGGATTTCTGCATTTATTTTCTTTGCACACACACCTAGCTGCTGGGCATCAACATGCAAATAACTTAAATCACTTTGTTCCATTCAGCTGCATTTTTATTAATGTTGCCATGATGTTTGGCACTTTTCCATTAACAAATGTGGTTCATGGCACAAAAACATAAATGCTGGTGTGAAATCTTAACTAGATCACCTGTTGACTGAACATTTCTGCTCGGAGGACTGTCAGAAGTAATGTGCAGTTAATCCATATTAATTATTATTCAAATTTTGTTCTTTTTCTTAGATGTGTACCCCAAAAGCTATCTTTTTTCAAGCCAGTCTACAGAAGCTTTTGTACAACCGTTGTTTTGGTCCTGACGGGTAATTTGTTTTGCTTCATGAACCTGAAACACCAGTTAGGTACTCCAACAAATTTTTAATGCCTGTTTGTTGAGCAGTTACTTTAGCTTGAAGGAAGATTCTTATTGTTGACACTCATAATCCAGTTTCTGTCTGCTCTATTGTCCATTTCTCTAAATTGTCTAGTTAGGCAAGTAAGAACTTGCTGCACTGTTAGTGCAATCTAAATGCTCTTATCAGTCTAAAATGTTGTGAATTTTACATTAATCGTTTTGCTTGTACATAATTTACGATCTAAACTAGTAAAGTTTTAAAGACAAGAAAAAAAATTAAAAAATACAGTAATAAAGCAAGAGCGGTAAAAGTTTAGTCCTTTTTATTCAGTTCATAGGAGTTAACACTTATAAAGAATGGATCAGTGTTTGTTTTAACTAGGTAAAACAATAAATAGTTACTTTATAACAAATAAAAGTCATGGACTATTTTGTAGTAATCCCCCGATTCTCTAATGAATCGAATAATGCTTGAAATATTTAAATGCTTAACCAGTGTACTTGTGCCGTGTCCAATGTTCAGCCCTTGTTTTCAGTCTGCAATTATCTGTCGTGAATAATTTCAATTTCTGGTGGTTTTTTATTACTTTCATTTTCAAAAACATTTCTCATAAACATTAATCAGCTAAGTGTATTCGTGCCATACACATTTTTCCTTCGCCACATCCGCTGTTGTGATCCAAATAAACTAAGATGCTATCATTCTTAATGCTGGAAATAGTTAAATTAGGCATGGTATGCCTTAAAGCTCATTATTCTCATATCTTAAAATAAACATCAAAACAGTTCATATAATGCAAATTATAAAATTTGAC